CAGGCTGACCAGCAGACTCTCTCCCTGCAGATGCACCAGGAAGGCAGAGTGCAGCAGAGCCCAGGAGGCCAACCACTGGATCTGGAGCCCCAGTGGGACATGTGTCCAGATCACAGGCTTCGACCCACCCAACCTCAGCCGCAAGAGGACGGAGATGGTAAGAGCTCTGGCACTGCGACCTTCACACTTCAGATCAGCACTTCAGCCATGTGATTCACATGGCAAACAAGTGGGCTCATAGCACTGGAGAGGAAACTATTCTTTAGTGCCGTGGGTCTCAAATTTTGGAGCGCCCCCAGGCGGTGCGCCAGATGACCCTGGAAATTTGTTGTGTGCACTGACAAATTAGGAATTTAAAAATCGAATAAACAACTGTGTCAATTTTTCATCTGTAATTTACTTAATCGGTTTCAGAAAGCTTGAGACAGGTTTTCATATCTTTTATTTTAATAAAATGAGTTAGTCAAATACACAGCCTATGCGCTAATACTTGAGTGGACCTACAGGACAAACCCTGAGAGGAGTGAGGTTCTGGCAGGAACACACAGCTGAGCCTTTCTCGAGAAAGCACTGAGGGACGAGCTCTGTTCTCAGGTCCGGTTCAGGCTGGTGCCCTCCCTGGGGCTGGCGGGCGAGCAGCTGCAGTGTGACTTCGGAGGTTTCCGCTGGAAGGCAGGGCAGGACGCGGACGAGCGCTTCTCCTGTCGCCCCCCCCCGATCTCCCAGATCCCTCCGCCCCCCGACCAGCAGGGTAAGACCCGGCCTCGTCCGTGGGTCTGGAACAGAGCGAGCAGTCTCTGTGCAGGAGTCATTTTACTTTCTTTTATAAAAATGGATATCCACGTGAATCCTCCATCTGTATTCTCGCTGGAGTTCGGTTTTATTCAGGTCTGCCTCTTTACTGAGCAAGACTACAGAAGCTTAATAGAGAAGAGAAAATTCTAATTTATACGAGATAGTATAGCATTTATACAAGAAAAGTGTTAAAATTAATGCTACTTCGTATGGGACAGTATTGCATATACTTTATAATGCAATATATTCATATAGTAGGCAACATTAGTTAACAAATGTTCTCATATAAATGCAATTTCCCTGTTTAAATGCAATATTATCTCGTCTAAACGTTTTTTTTTTCCTCTGTGGCACTAATAAGCATCCATTCAAGACACTGCAGAGACTGATAGCATTGTGATTCTTTTTTGGAAAAACATTACAGCTTGAACAGTACAGGATCATGATCCGATCTTTCAGGTTGTCTCGGAGCAGGTGGCTTACTGAAGTTGTTCCGTTTCAGATTTTGTGACGGTGGGTTTAACCTTGAGTCTGGCAGACACAGGCGTGTTCCTGGCTTCTGCGCCGTACCGCTTCTACCAGGACCTGCTGTGAGTAGAACCGTCCAGTTGAAACAACACAATCGAGGACCCAAGGATGCCCTTCCTGCTCACTTCTAGACCAGGCTCATGTGTGCACACTGAGCACATGTCCATACAGGAAGTGTAAAAAGTGTAGATCATCGCCAGCAGCTATATCACCCTGCGTCTCATCACTGGCAACTCACCTATGCCCAGCAGGAGTGGGTCTGGTCAGTACCTGGAGGGGAGACTCCTGGGAAAAGCTAAGGTTGCTGCTGGAAGTGGCGTTAGTGGGGCCAGAAGGGGGCGCTCACCCTGCAGTCTGTGTGGGACATACAGTAATGCCCTAGTATAATGACGAGGATGCTATCCAATAAAAAGGCACCATCCTTCAGATGAGATGTAAAACCGAAGTCCTGATTCTGTGCTCATTAAAAACCCCAGAGCATTTCTTGAAAAAAGTCAGTGTTAAACCCTGTTCAGATCTTCCCCTGCCCTCTACCAGTCGTGGCCTCCTCATAATCCCCATCTGTGAACTGGCGTCATCACTCTGCTCTCCTCCCCACTGAGAGCTGGTGTGTGGGGAGTGTACTGGTGCACTATGGCTGCTGTTGCATCATCCAGGTGGGGCTACGCATTGATGCTAATAGAGGACTCCCCATCACCTGTAAAGAGCTTTGAGTGCAGTGTCCAGAAAAGCACTATAGAGGTGTAAGGAATGATGAGATTTTGCCTTGCATAGCATAAGAAATACTAGCATGTCACATTATATCCATGATAATACATCTTTTCTATACAGGCTTTTAATTCCAAAGTGCCTTACACATACGGGGGGCCCCTCCTGTATATTCTGCTCATTTTTTGTGGGAGTTGTGCAGCGACAGTCCCACTATGCAGTAGATCAAAGGAGACACGAGAAACCAGGAGCTTCACTGACAGAACAGATTGTACAATCCCAAGACAGTTTAGTTGAGCCCGGGTTTAAATCAATAGTCTTGTTAACAGGGCCACAGGACCTTTTATAACAAGTAGTCATCATAACAGCTTAATGTCTCATCTACAGGACAGAACTTCCTGAAACAGTGTTCCCAGTGAACATATTGACCTCCAGAGGCGGTGACTCCGGCTCTGACAGGCATAATGAGCTCTAACTGCCTGTGTTGTATTTTTGCAACAGTGCTAACTATACGCAGAGCCAGCGCACGTTCTGCAGGCGAGCTGAGGCTCCTGGAACACACCCGATCACACCAGGGGTTTGACAGCTGAAACCCGCAGGGGCAGCGTGCAAGACCGTGCCAAAGGTCTCCTGGGACTCTCCCCCGCAAGACACTCCGAGTATCGGGCCTCTCTTCCTGAAGGCCACTGCCACAGAGGGGTGTGTCCAGTCCTGATCCTGCCCCATTCACTCCTCCAGCGGTGGTCTCTAGCGCTGCAAGTACACGTGCTGTACCATTCATCACGTATAATACCACTCTTTGCCTCGTATCAGAGGCTCTACAGCATGTCTCTCCTTTTCCTTCCAGTATGGAATAAGCGTTTATCTGTTCCTTTGCATGCTGATGCAGCTCCCTACTTGAACATTAATCATTGTAGAAATCCACCTCTCCCTCCTGAGAATGGACTCTTCCTTTCCCCTTTCCCCCTGTATCGGGCCTGAGAGACCCCTGCTCTCCCCCTTTTCTAGCTGGACGTCTGAAGAACAGCAGCTGTGCTCCTCTGCCTCTTCTCCACCCTGCTTTGGCTCTCTGTGAGATTAGTGCTTCCTGCTTGAATTCAAAAGAACAAACCGGGACAGCAGCCTCCTTGCTTCCACACGCCACCTCAAACACACAGGCTGTGTCAATGATATAGAACGTCTGTACATTATCATTGACATTATACTGTAATCATTTCTGAGCTACGGATTCAAGCACCAAAGGGAAGGAGTGGTGTTGAATGCACTGTAAAACAGTGTCAGAGAAGAGGGGGTCCAGGCTCAAGTTTGCTTTGCTATGCTGATCACTTTCCACCGAAGGGATCTATGATTGTTGGGTGATCAAGCTTTGGCATTTATTAGGAATGCTTTTTTTCTGTTGCTTAAAGAAGTTATCTTAGCGTTAATTTTTTTCAGATTAAATATACAGGTGTATATTTGTATGTAGTATATGTGATTGATATTTACAGGCTGAGACTTGTAATCTCAAGCAAATATTGGGTTCTGCAATTCTTTTCATCTTTTTGTTTCTAACGTAAACTCTGCAAAGCAAACAAAATATTGAATTTACTTCTGAAGTAATTTCTTTAATGTGGAATTGATGTCCAGTTAAGGGGGGAAAAAATAAACATGGACATTATTCTATCATGTAGAATTCAGTTGTCTTTATTATCATATTTCAAAGAGGTTACAAAAAAAGAGGGGGTGGGAAGCTTCTTCATTGATAGTTTTCAATTTTCATCTAAAAGTAGGCAGAGTTCCAGCAGGATATATTTTTCAACTTTTTCAACTCCGTCATGCGCGACAGCCCCATACTATAGTTGCATGTCCTGCAGGAGGACAAGTTCGTCTCTCCCTGCAGCCTGTGGCCGCATGTTTGCCGGGTTAAATAACCACCTTCACTGGCCAGCTGGCCAGCCATGGGTGCCATAACTCTATGATCCTCACTCTGGGCCCAGGACAGGTGTTCCTGACCCGCTGGCCCTTTCCTTTAGTCCACGCTGATGTCACTGGCCCAAATTACTACTAGTTTCAAGTTTTTAGCAGTGGAGAATTTCCAGATCCCTGTACACAATTTGGGGCTGTGGGCTAGGAAGTGCATGACAGTCCCTCAATTCACCCAGCATTAACATTAAAATGAATTATAAACTGTGCTGGAAGCAAGTACACAGAAGCCAGAGTGGGAGTTACATTTTCCTACTTTCTTTTTATTACACTGCTGTTCAATGTCAAAAACAGGTTCCTATCAGATTGTCAATAGGAAGAGGGGCTGACTGAGGCCTTTCAGCCATCTTAAAACAGCCATGTTTATGCCTGAGCTACCTAATCTGGCCAGGGCTGTGCATTTTGGCTTGCAGTAAAGTAGATATGCTTTACATTTAAGGAAGAGTATGTGATTTACATACCCAAATCTAAAAATTTGAATTTTTGTGCAAAAATAGCATTTCATGACAGAACAGGGTACCTATTTTAAATAGTAAGCAGCTTTGTAGAGGCGCAGATGACCCACATCTGACTGAGCAGATGATTAGAGGACAGAAATAACAGGAGATTAAGCAGGGGGCTCCACACAAGACAGGAATGACCAGTCGAGAGAGCGTGGGAGAGTGTGGAATCCACCAGTGGTTCCCAAGCCTGGTCCTGCTGACCCCACACCTGTTTTTTTTTTTCCAGCCGATTCCTCAGTGAGGCAATCAAACCCTTTGTTGGCTAAATGATAATGAGATTCATTTGAACTGGTTGTTCTGGAGCTATAACAGTTGTGCTTGGTTAAGTGGGGAAAAACAAATTCCCAAACTAGTGACTATAAACAATGCAAATATTCCAGCGAAGCGTCTTCTTGGGTCACGTAGGGCTTCGATGATCTAATCAGGGAGGGCTGGAAGGAAAGGCGCCAGGCGCGTGTGGGAAGCAGTGGAACAGGAGGAGAAAGCATGAGAGACAGGATGAGCCTGAAGCC